CAATGCGGTTCGAAGCCATGAGTTTGTTTCCCCGCACGGCACGTTGTAGCCTGTATTTCAATTGTAGTGTTTGTTTTTTTATTTGTGCTGTTCCCGCAAAGCTGCAATTGCCGTCTTGAATTAATCTCTGTAGAGCGGATATTCACTCAGCTGGAAGTGATGCTTCACGGGCTGAGAAATCGCTTTTCGATCAACTTGAATGCAGTCAAAGCCGCGACTTGCGGCAGGTGTTAACTGTACGGAGCTACGTCGTGGCGAGCCCGAAAACTTCTAGCGCTCATCCCAGCGCGCCACTTGGAGGGTAGTTTCTCCAGGAACCGTATAGTATATTTAGACAGCAAAATAAAGGGTAGCTTTTTTTTTTCGATTTTACCTACTATTGTTTTTTAATTCTAAAATTCCACACCGTAAATATACGTACTTTCCGTCACGATTTCGTACTGTTGTCCTTGCCCCAGAGCGCAATCGCTCTCGGGAACGATACAACCGACAGTCACATTGGCCACTGTACGATAAAAGCTTACTGTTCAGACCAGCGTTCCAAAACGACTATCCGCACGTTGATTGATTGCACGTAATCTCTCAAGTGGTATTAAACTTTTTAATGTAAAGCGGAATGTCAACCTGTGACACCCCGCCCCCTCGGGGTGTCACAGGTTCACGGCCCGACCAGCGGCATCAATGCCCGACAGTTTACGATCTCATCTTGTTACACCACTGATTCGCGAACACACGGTCACAGCGGCGATATTTCCAGTCTTCGGTTCACAACCCACAACACTGCCATCACGATGTTGCAGCTATTTTCTGACACGCACAAGTACAGAACCACGTTGAACGCCGGTTGCACTCGGCATCGGAAAACAGAACCGAACTCAGCAAGGCACCCTGGCAGCCGGCAGCAAAACCTGCCTCTCTTGGACGGAGTTCCTGCGGTTTCCGTATCGTCGAAACGTCGACACAGTTCCGGGTGGTTTCACTACAGTCCCGCCAGTCCCGCAATCCGGAGACAGCGATCTTACCCAGTGTACGTGGCGCTGCTGGCACTGCTCCGGAACTTCGCTGTTTCTAGCGGCTTCGTTTGCTCGTTTGATAAAATTAGTGATAAAAACGTCAATGCAACCGAAATGTTCTGCAAGTTTAGACTAGAAGACGGAATTACAGGCGGCCTTCGCAGCCGCTGAAGCTCAATGAACTCAACAGCTATTTATTAAACAACGTTCGCGACCTGCTCGAAAAACGAAACCGAAAGAAGATGAGTCGGGAGGGCGAAAGCTTTCTCCCGTCTGCCTGGAGAAGGAGAAAAACGTTTTGTTCCTCCCGTTTTCTCGTGTCCGCTTGGGGGCGCGTCAGTAAAAGGGAGGAAGACGCGCCGTTTCAACTTTTTCTTTCCATTTTTTCTTAGAGTGTGGACCTCTTTGACGAAGTCCACACCTCTGGACGTGCAGAAGTGCGGACCTCGCCACTAAATGAGCTATGCTCAGGGTCGGGACCCTGTTCCCCAATATTGCTGTGGGCGCCGCCATCTTGGTGATTGTACAGAGCAGACGCAACTGCCGATCGTCATAATTCAAAAGTACGACTTCCTCGGCATTTAATTCGGTGTTTGGAAGTTCATGTAATATGGCTTTGCTCTGTCGCGAAGCGTTTAAACATTTATAGAGGACGTAAAAGCGCTTGCTGTGATTTCAGATAAATTTTCAAATATCTGGCAGCCATGATTTTAAGCCACATTATGGACACGTGCCGTTACCCTAAAGCGTAGCTTACTTAGTGGCACTAGGGAAGATCATGGCGGAACAGCGCAGCACTGAGCTAGATTTCAGACGCCGTGTTCTTCTATATAAAGTGCCACGAAATAAGCTACGCCTCAGAGTAAGAACACTTGTTCATATTGTGGCTTAAAATCATGGTTGCCAGTTATCTGAAGATTTATCTGAAATCACAGGACACGCTTTTCCGTCCCCCACAAATGTTTAAACAGTGGGCGACAGAGCAAACCAATATTATATAAGCTTCCTAACACCGAATCTAAAGCTGAGGAAGTCGCACTTCTGAATCACGACGATCGGCAGTTGCGTCTACTCTGCACAAGCACCAAAATGTCGGCGCCTACAACAATGTTGGGGAAGAGAGTGCCGATACTCTAAGCGCAGCTCATTTAGTGGCTCTAGTTCTTCCAGTAGTGGCGCGCGGCAGGTGTCTCGAGCATTTACATAAAGATGATTGGCGTCACTTTTCCCAGGATAGATAGGCTTTACTCCACACAACCTGGGAGCGTTTTTGTAAACCAGTATTCAGACAAAGAGAGAGGCCGATATAGGACATAGGAAGTGCAAAACTGCCTTGCCACATAATTTGAGAAGGCAGTGATTCACGCAATAGTGCTGCAAAAGCGTCGTGGTTTCTGGTGAGAGCAATTTCGCTTGACAGCCCATTCCAGTCGGTCGTAGCCCGTAGTAGCGGGGATAATTTGTGGAAGTCAGTTCTGGCGGCGAAGGGAATATGGACTTTGTTAGGGTGATCATGACAAGGAAAAATACTAGTGGGTGGGATGAAGTTGGTTTCGAAAAATTCAGTTGATGTGTGATATCTATGGAAGTGGGATAGGCTACCAAAATATCTTCTCTGCTGGAGCGCTGATAATCCTATTGATCTTCTAGTTTGAATGAAGCTTACAGGTGTATGCATTTTTAGAAAGCACCGAGTTGCCCTGTTGTATAGAGATTTTAGCCTGTATTAAATACTTTTGATGCGGGTTCTAAACTCTATATGCGTACTCCAATTTAGGTCTAGCCAAGGTCGTGTAGTATGCTAGTAGTTTAGTTTCTGCTGTTGCCATGTACAAATGCTTTCTTAAAAATCATAAAGATTGGTTAGCTCTGTTAAGTATGTACTCGATGTTAGCATTCCAGGAAAGATTGGTAGTTAAATCAACTCCTAAATATTTACATGAAGTTACTTTATCAATTTTTATTTCATGGTAGATTAATCATTGTGTAGCAGGAAAGCTCAGTTAGCAAATGTGATTGTTTTTGTTTTTTCTGTATATATTTGCATTTGACATGTTTCTTACCACGCAAAAATGCTATCTAGGTCTCTTTGTAGAGCACTGCAATCTGACTGATTATATATCTAGCGGCGTACCACACAGTCGTCTGCTAAACGACGAATTTTTGATGAAAGATTGTTAGGAATGTCGTTTATATAAATTAAAAAGAAAGTGGACCAACTACGGATCCTTGAGGTACTCCAGAATTTACGTTTAGAGGGCGTTAGCTTATACCGTTTATGTCTACGGTTTGCTTTGGATTGTTGAGATATTCTCGAACCGATAAAATTACCCGTTCATTAACTCTTTTTTTTTAATTATTAGACGACTGTGTGGAACACCCCCCATCGGAAGCTTTCGAAACATTTATAAACACTTCGTTAGGAAAAAGAATATTGTTAGCAACAAGATGACTCATTACTGATGAATACACTTTGTATTCTAGTAGTTTACTGAAACAGATGTGATATAGGTCTGTAATTTGTTGCACAGTTGCGATTAACAGATTTATGAATTGAGACTACATTGCTAATTTCCATTTAGCCGGCTACAGCCAGTGTCAAGTGCTGCTGAAATAGGCTGTCATGTAGAACGCCTGGCACAGCTAGTTTAAACAATTTCGAGCATACCCCTGGCCCTGGACTTGATTTGCTGGTAGACGCTCGATAGCACTGACGACGCCATCAATACTTATCTTAAGGTCCTCCATTTCAAGGTTAGTTTCTGAGTCATGAAATTCAAATAAAGGGAAATCATCGGTAAACACTTCACAAAAAAAAATTGTTAAATTTTTTCTGGTTCGCTTGAAAATTAAACTTTAGTTCATAGTCAGCGCTTTGTCCGTGCACTTCTTTCACTCGTCCCTTGTCAAATTTTTTGTGTTTTCGTTTTCACGTTGAAATTTTGAGGCTGATTGATGAGGAGAAAGTGTGACGTCCCTTTTTGTAGTAAAGGAAATTTGTTTTCTTTCTTTGGTATTTACTACACGCCAGAACTTTTAGGATATGTTTTTAATATACTAATCAAATCATGGTTAAAAAATGGTATTTCGCTTTTCCTATTTCATTTTTGCGCAAACGCGCACATACTCCATACTCTAGGCAGTCATGCTCCGTATCCGAGTATATGGCCCTTCTGAAAAGTATCTTATTTTTTAAGATCGCACCTTCTACGCTTCGAGAGAACCAGGCGGGACAGCTTTCGCTTGGAGTGCTAACCAAATCGGAACAAAATTCTCACGTATTGAAATTATTTTTTTTAATTGACAGCCAATTATGTTCTATTGAGCGTTGCAGGTACTGGCTTTCACAGCGCATTCGGAAATTAAATTAGACAAAGAAGCTTCGATGTCATTGATTTTCGACTTAGAATAATCATATATGAGCTTTGAAAATTGCTTTAAAATTCACATTGCTTGCTTAAATTGCTTTTTAATAGGGAAATCGGCGGCGCTTCGTTATGATTTCTAAGATGCTTAGAGCACTCAGAGTGAGTTATCGCCTCCTCAGGGCACCTTTAATAAACAAGCGTCAATTCTTGCACCACGTGATCACACTCTTTGCGCTTACTCGCGCGCAGATAAGATCAGGCAGTGCGGGTAGCTGACGGATTGGTCCAAGGAGCATGTAGCTCCCATGTGTTCTGTGAACGAAGCATATTTCAACTGACCGTAGCAGCCCCATTTCATGAAGACTAACCAAAATTTCACGAGCGCGGCTGTGCATGGTGTGTGACATTAAAAGCAGCATTAAGAAAAAAACCTAACAGAATGAACAATTGGGCGAGTTGTTACATATTCCTAATAAAGCAGCGCGACTAGACATGAACGAAGCGAACAACTAGACAGAACGAACGTTGTTTTGATTCCTAAAATAAGGTTTTCTTCTAGTATTGCGATTACTGCCATTTTCAAAGTGTTTATTATAGAACAAATGAAAACAGTTATTCGTAAAGAGGTATCAAACTTTATTAAGCATAGCGAGCGTACTCACACATGACCACAATCACTTACGAAGAAGAAAACAATCCTCAAGCTTTATAGTTTCATATTGCTTCTAGAGTGGTGTTACGCAATAATCATGTCTCTTGAAGTTGCTCTGGGTGGCACTGGGCATTGTAAGAACTAAGCATCGTGCAGAACCCTAAAAAAAGAAAAGGAACTTGCAGACTTCGTGGCACTCACCCACAGATGGACGCTCCGCCAAAGGCGCAACTAACATGACGGACACTGCATAACCAGTTAGAAAGTACACACCTAGTAGAGGTAAAACTAAACGATGTGAAACAACAAAACGAATATTAAATTAAAATCAATAGATACAAAACCCTCGCCAGGGCTTTCTTTGGTAGCTCATCACAACATCGCAATCTCTCGATGTGACTGTAGTGAACCAGCCATTTGCCATCTCTAAAATGGCTGTGAGGATGGAGTTGACACAGACTAGAGTGCCTTCATGCCCGGTTTGCTCAGGGTGATGACATCTGACAAGTTTCTTCAAAATGCTTTTTCTTTTTTTTTCGGAGCGCCTGAACACCACTTTTTGACACAAGCTCTTGGTGTTGACTAGCGGCATTTTGTTTACGGCTATCCCTTTGTGTTTTTCAAGTGAGAGCGTGCTGTTGGCATTGGGTGCTAGTACAAAAGACGTCATCACCCTAAGCAGAAGGACATTGAGGCTCCCTAGCTTAAACTGGCGATAATAACTGGCGCGACTACTCGAAAAGTTAACTTCGAGTGGCCGTCCGTTTGGCCGTGTTACTCTCTGTACGCGACGCGCTTAACGGCCATTACTGCCGACTGGACCTCGGTGGGACGTTCTCTTCCGTCTACCATCAGGCTGTTGAGACGACAGATGGCCTCTGCGAAGACTGCATGGCGATGCGGGCGCTGTAGTCGTACAGAGCCTAGGAAGGAAGTGAACATGTGTGGACTTAGAGACACCCTTCGAAAGACTTCGCTGTTAAATGATCTACGTACTATCGCGGACAATATGAGCTGAAACAGCGCTCCGGCCGGCGCAGTGTACTACCTGCGCCACCTGTCGCCTTGCTCCGCACGCATGGCGCACACTGAGGCCGAGATAAATTCTCCCTTGCGCTCGCTGCGCCAGTGCGCTCTTCCGGCTGTCTGGTAGCGAGACAGCGGGTGCGACAGCATGCATGTGTGTGGTAGGATGGCGGGGCACGAAGGATTGTACTGGTCGTCCCTATTTTGGAATTGATTTAATTTACTCTATCGCGCAGAATCACGTAGAAAAAACGCTGAGTGGTGAAGATAAAATTGTTGAAGTGTGTTAAATTGCAGCTGCGATTATCATTTTTGAAAGTCACATCGAAAGACGTTTCAGGTGGTTTTTGTTTGATTAAGTGCATGCACAAAGTAGGACATCGTAAAGTATAGGCCAAAATCTGTATGCCGGATTTAGTCCGGCTCTAAGGTATTATTTTTTTCTGTTTCATTGATCCCATACGTTAAAAAAAAAAAAAAAAAAAAAAAAAAAAAACCCCGGTAAGCATACATGTTACTGAGAAGGTTTTGTAATCTTGATTAGTATGAAAAGGTTCAAATATATTATTTCTTTATTACTGGGCCCACGTGTCTGGTTCGAACAAAACAAGTTGCTGACAAGACACAAGCTTTTTGTTTACAAATTCTTAGTCGTAATAAAGTGAGAGAAACAGTCATATATTTGCCAGGAGAAGATGTCAGACACAAAAGATTAATAGTTGGCGTGGAACTTCAACTGCAGTATACAATAAGATCGGGATCAAGGAGGCAGCACGCAAAAGTATGCGCTGGTTAACGGCGTTAAACTGTGTGTTGCATACGTAGCATCAAGCTCTGTTCCAATCGGCATAAGTCCGGTTCAGGGGCCCTGAGGCGCGGTAAAACTTGCAAAATAATTGAAAACAGCGTCATTCTCCCCTGACCCACGAACACGGCTCTCATCCTATCTGGTAAGAAATCATAGAGCGCGGGCACGAAGTCTGGCTCCGACCGAAGCCACTCCCATTCACCTCTTATTGCTTTCCAGAATTTGTGGGCAGTGGCGCGGTGGAGGGGACGCCGTGACATGACTACCTTGATGCACCTCCAGATGTGTTCGATGATATTCAGATCGACTCCTTTTGGGGGCCAAGGCAGCTTCGTCAGGCAGCGCTCCTCGAGGAGATACGAGCGTGACAACGCATTTTCGACTTCGGCGCTTTCTTGAAATGCACTAAAATGCAGGTTAGCTGAAAACGTGAACATTGGGCTACGCGGCACACGCACCGTGATGGTGGTTCCGTCGGCCAATATTAAAAAGTTTTTGTAGATCGTTTCCGCTGTCCCGCAAGGTTCTCCGCAATCCGCTACGAGATGCGGAACTCTGTAGGCAAGGCTAGCGCCGCGCATGCGCGGTAGGGGCGTCTTCGTTGCGGAGAGCGTAGCTCAGGTGGGAAACGGTTTACGAAAACTCGGCCATTTTCGCTAGCAGGCGGCCGGAAGAGCGCAGCGGCGCAGTGAGCGCAAGTGAGAATTTATCTCGGCCTCTGGGTGCGCCGTGTTTACGGAGCGATGAGACAGGCGGCGCAGGTAGTACCGTGCACAGGCCGGAGCGTTGTTTCAGCTCATATTATCCGCAATAGTACTAACTTTTGAACACCCTGAGGATATAAAAAGGGTGTTCTATGAACTTATACGCATAGTCACACCCTTTTAGCATTCTTATGTCGAGTAATGCATCCTTTCCTAAAGGAAGGTATACCTGCAATTTTATGCATCCTTTTTGGGGAGTATGTTGCTTTTGAGCGATTTCCAATTACGCGCTATATAGCCATAATGGTTAGGGCAGCCGACTCCAGCAAACACCTGCTCTGGCTAGATGACCTGATCAATATATACAGATTTCAAAACCCCCAGTCCAGCAAGAGAAACTCCGCCCCAAGGTTCGAATTATCAGAATTGAGGAGATTGGTGACAGAGTATCAGATAGCACAGCACCACCAACGTGCCAAGTATATGCACGTGAAATCCCCGTCATTAACTTTCCGGGATTTGAATAAATTTGAAGCTTCTAGAACGTTTTCTCGTGCTAAAAGTGCTACTGCGAAGACGTTATTTTTATAGTTTTGTTTTTGAGGTTAAGAGTGGAGGAGAAGCTCTTCGCACAAATCCCTCCTCTCTTTCTACATTAACAGCATTCGCTTTGTTAAAGCGGAAAGAATAGACAACTTTGTGGGAGGAACTTGTCCTGCACTCTTAACCTGGAAACGACTATGCGGAGCGCCAGTTCGTCTGCTTCTTTTGCAGGGGTTGTGGTGACGTCAGAACTCCGATCTCTGATTGGGGTCTACCCACTATCTTTCAATGGGTAGGCCTCAAGGCAGCTTGCTTTGAGGTCTACCCCACTATCCTTCAATCGGAGCCAATCAGAGCTCGGTTTTCTGACGTCACCAAAACTCCTGCAAAAGAAGCAGACGAACTTGCCTTCTACGCAAGTCATAAAGGGGCAATGCAACAATTTTTTACTTCGCGCAAATACCACCTAGAACGGATTCCTGACGTTAATGACCTATGAAAGACGCGTTCGTTTTTCACCCCACGCAATAGACGCCCGAGAAAAAAATTAAAGAAAAACGAGCAGCGTTTACCCCCTCTACTCGCAGCCAGAACAAGCGGCCACGTGATCTGGAGCCGATTATATGCCGTCAGTGTTGATCCACGCGCTGGGGTCGGCAAAGCACAGGACACGCGCCGAGTTCCAGACATTGTTATGGCTCGGCTATTGTCGTCATTGCAGCGATTGGACACTGGTTTCCCGGATGCTTCTCGAGCTAGTAATTATCACGAGCCCAAATCATTCAAATATCGTCATTGGGGTGTACTGCGATCCCCGTGTTACGTCATCAAATTTTGCAAAGAAGAGATTGATTGAAAATGATCGCTTTTGTCCTTGAAATTACACCGCAACAAAGGAGTTTATAGGAGGTATTCACTGGACGCCATATTTGAGGGCGATGTTTAGCGCGCATGATTGATTGATTGAAACGTTTATTTAATTTCCATGCCTCTGGTCTATGGAACCTCATGTGGCATGGGGAAGGGGGAGTGGGAGAGGGGTAGTGATGGATTAGACGTACCGTCCGATCCCGGAGGACCGGAGGTAGGAGATGATTGATGCGAAGATGAGATCTCTTTCTGCCGCTATCCGTTCTAGTGACGTCCCCTTACAGGACCATACAAGATGGTAGCAAGTCGCAGGGAAACCGCAGTGTGGACATCCAGGGTCAGGACCTGTGTCATTCTCATCTGTTGACTTGTAGAACTTGGCACGCCAAAAGGGAGTCACCATAGTCCGAGTCTGGAGCCTGTGTAGTGCCACTTGCTCCCATCGTGGAAGCTTGCGAGGGATCGGGTGGGGGTTAGAAGGTAGGAACGCTGCAAGGCGCGCTTTTCGTGCTCTTTGTTCTTCCTTCTTTTGGGTTAGATCAAAGCCCTCGTCAGGTGGAACGTCCCGCTGAACGGGCGAGGGGACCGGGCCTTGTGACGGCTGAGTATTTGCCTGTAGCAGCGCCCTCGCGGTCCCGTCCGCCCGCTCGTTCCCTGGAACGCCTGCGTGGCCCGGTATCCACGCGATGGTAATTGTTTGTCGAGCCGCGGCTTGACGAACTAGTTCGCGGATGTTAGCGCGCATGCTCAGAACGAGCTCACATTAATAGCCTGCTAAGATCGGCAACATTGATGGTGCTAAATGCACGCTCCAAAAAAAAAAAAAAAACTGCGGAAGCTCGCCGTCAGCACGCGCTCAGCAGCAGGGCACACGGATATGGCCGCCAGTGAATACTCCCTATTGGCCAGTGGCGTTGCGGGCGAGTATCCTCGAGTCTCACTAGTGCCAGTAAGCTCGTGTAAAGTGAAAAATATTCGATTTGAATATCATTTCACCGCTCCTTTAAGGCCGGTGCAGACACTTGCGTTTGAGTGCGTTTGACTGAGTCACCGGCACATCTGTGCTTCGTATGAAGCGTGGAATCTAATTCAAGAAATCATCTTGGCAGGCGATATAAGCAGCAGGGATGTCCTGGTTTCTGAAGCCGCAACGCAGTCAAACGCAGTCAAACGCAACCGTCTGAATACATGTTTTCAGCCTCGTCCTTCCTAAAGTCCTTCCTTGAGGCAACGTTACTAGATTACCTCAGTTGTGAAACTCAAGCGGAATGGGGTACCCCCCCTCACTCACTTCAGTCCGCCAAGTGTCGTTCGAATCGCCATCTAGATTTTCGTTTCATAACTGTGCGTTCCAAGGAGCAGAGATGAAGCGCCATCTAGACGCCGTGCTTCGAAACGTAGGTAGCGATCCCAGCGATCCCGACACGATTTCACCGTGCCCGATTCCCATAGAATACGCTGCAGTTACCAAAGCAGCTGTCCGGCGGCGCGTCGAGCGACGCTTGGCGAGTCGTGGTGAGTGAGGGGGGCTACTGTCCGTGCATGCAGCGTCTATGAGCAGTTCCGTAACTGAGCTAATCTAATAACGTTGCCTTGAGGTACCACCGTATAGACGATTTCAAGCAGCTGCGCATGGGCGCCGCCATAACCGACCTTCAGTTCTTGTTTCCTCTTATTCCGTTCGCTTCACTTTATCATTGCCACTGCAGGGCACGTTATCGCCACTTTAGGTGCTACTGCGTCCTTCTCCCCTGCATAGGCCTCTGTGGAGGCTCGTCAATGCCCGCTTCAGTGACTCGTCATTTCGGTAAAACAAGAGAAGGTCGGCTATGGCGGCTCAATCTGGCGCGTGATTAAAGCGTCTATAAGGAGTATTCATTGGGCGCCATATTTGTGGGTGCTATCTAGAGCGCATGCTCAGAACGAGCCCACATTAATAGGCTGCAAAGACCGGCAATCTTGGTGGTGCGGA